TGTGTATCAGAGATCAGAGCTCTGGTGGCATAGTGCCTAAGGCACTTGACAGGTAACCAGAAGGCTGGAGGTTCAAACCCACCAGCCACTCCTCGGAAGGAAGATGGGGCAACCTACTTCCGTAGTGACACCACCTGGGAAACCCAAGGAGGGGTTGCTATGAGTCAGGTCTGACTCGAGGGCACATAACAACAACAACAATCTTAACAGCAACAACAAAATAAAATTTGAAGAAAAACATAACTGGTTTTATCAACTGTAACTTAAGGATTTTAAAACAATAGAGAATAAAGCAGATGTATAACTTCTTGTTGTTGTTAGATTTATAACTTTGAAAAAAGAAAATATTTCTTGGGGGATGTGTTGCTTGATGAAGGTATAATTGGCTCTAAAAAGAAAGTTCCAGGTTTCCCTAAAGTCTTCCTCCCTTGAACCACACTGTGTGGTCTGAAAGGTCAAGCATAGGGTATGTGAAGAGAAGCTAGAGACATGTTTTAATTCACTACAAAGAACTTTTGAAAAGAATTCTTCATCACTGGTAATTCACTGGTAAGAATTCTCCATCACATACCAGAGGATTCTAGGATGTTTCAGACAGTATCCAAGTATCATAGACTAGGATCTGCCTAAAACACATGCAATGTCTATTCGTAGGCTATGTGAAATGCCTAGCACAGTGCATGCTGCATAAAAGAAGTATGATAAATACTTCCAATTCTAAGGTCCCTAGAGAGTTTGTACTCAACTGCCAACCTAACGGGTAGCAGTTCAAACCCACCCAGTGGACCATAGAAGACAGGCAATCGTCTTCCACTGAGATTACAGCCAAGAAAATACCATGGGGCAGTTCAGCTCTGTAACACATGGGTCATCATGAGTCAGAATCGACTTGAGGACAACTAGCACCACCAACAACAACCTCCTGTTCTAGAAGTCCATGATCATATATACTGGATGTATTTTCTGGAGGGGTAATTGGATACATTCTAGATTCTTCCAGAAGTTCACAAGTCTCTTATGGGGGCCCACTGAGAGAGGAAGGCAAGGGGAGGAGAGGGGGATGTGTTGTTCGTTGTGTCAGTGTAGCTCTTCCTCTACTTGGAGTTTTCAGCACTTTCAGGCAGTCACTGGCTTGGCCTTATGCTATCCACCACCGCTGAGATAACTGCTCCTGCTGCCTTTGCTCCTTCCATCAAGGCGTGCTCTACCTGCAAAGCACATCAGTTCACAGGATGGTCAGTCACAGTCCTAGACCTGTGTCCTCCCCTTCCCCTGCCCACTGCTCCCCTTCAGGAACTCGCCTGGTTGGAGCCTTTCATAGAAGAGGAAGCAGCCTATGCTATCCTAGATTTCTAGAAACCTTAGGAGCTCTGGTAGCATAGTGGCTAAAGCACTTGACTGCTAACCAGAAGGCTGGCTATTCAAACCCACCAGCCACTCCTCGGAAGGAAGGTTGGGCAATCCTACTTCCGTAGTGATACTGCCTTGGAAACCCAAGGAGGGGTTGCTATGAGTCGGGGCCGACTCGACGGCACATAACAACAACAACAACAGATCTGCAACAGACCAAGAGAAGCCAGGATTCCTTGAGACCAACTTCCAAGGCAGGTTTGCTTCCTTTCTTCTGGGAGTATCCAGGGCTTCTGGTCTCACTCCTCCCTCAGAGTCATTCTGCCCAGGGTCGGCCTCCAGTGTGGGGCCCAGAAGTGAAGGATCTAAGAATATCACAACCACTGAGACCCTCATTTTACCCATGGGAAACCTGAGAGCCAGAGAGGAGAACTCACTTGGACAAAGTCACCTAGTGAATTAGTGTCTGAGGTTAGATTTGGGCTTGGGTCTCATGATTCCTAGGCTTGGGAAGTTTAACCAAAAAACAAACCTACTGCCATAGAGTTGATTCTGACTTATAAGGATCCTATAGGACAGAGTAGAACTGCCACCATGGGGCTTGCAAAGCTGAAAATCTTTATGGAAGTAGAATTACCTGTCTTTCTCCTGTTGAGTGGCTGGTGGGTTCTAACCATTGACCTTTTGGTTGGCAACCCAGTGCTTTAACCTCTGCACACCAGAGCTCCTTATGGAAACTGAGGTGGGCCAAATATAATCCCCTTTAAACTAATGGTCTTCTTTTCACGTACAAATGCTCATGGTATAGGAAATTCCTTATTCCAGAACCAGCCAAGCCCTGGACACTTAAGCAAGCCCTCACAAGACTGGAATGCAGGAGATGACAGAGTCAAAGGCAGAAGATCCAGAAAGTCAATAGTGGACAAGGTATTGGGGGTAGAGAGGGCCTGCTAGTGCTCATTGAGAGACCAGACATTGACAGGAAAAAAACCAACATACTAAGATTTGATCCCAGCCTGTTGACTATGAGAAATGATTCTCTGCTTTTAAACCTTGATTTTTAAAAATTCTATAAAACTACCAACCCCACCAGTTGGCTGTCAAGTCAATTCTGACTCAGGTTGAAAGGCACTCAAAATATGCCCGAGGAAGGATTGCTTCTCCAAAGTAGGGTTGACCTTAGTGACATGGATAGAGTAAAGCTTTGAGGACCTCCATATGCTGATGGGGCATGACTCAAAATGGTAAGGAACAGATGCAAAAATATCTATTAATAACTGGAAAATGGAATGTACGAAGTATGACTCTAGGAAAATTGAAGCTATCAAAAATGAAATGAAATGCATAAAGATTGATATCCTAAGCACTAGTGAGCTGAAATGGACTGGTTTTGGCCATTTTTAATCAGACAACCATATGATCTACTATGCTGAGAATGACAAATTGAAGAGGAATCGTGTTGCTTTCATCGTCAAAAAGAACATCTCAAGATCTATCCTGAAGTCCAACACTGTCAGTGATAGGAAAATATCCATATGCTTACAAGGAAGACCAGTTAATGCTACTGTTATTCAAATTATGCACCAACCACTAAAGTCAAAGATGAAGAAATTGAAGATTTTTACCAACTTCTGCAGTCTGAAATTGACTAAACATGCAATCAAGATATATTGATAATTATTGCTGATTGGAAAGTAATAGTTGGAAACAAAGAAGAATCTCTGGTAGTTGGAAAATATGGCCTTGGTCATAGAAATGATATTGGAGATCACATGATAGAATTTTGCAAGATCAATGACTTATTCATTACAAATACCTTTTTTCAACAACATAAACAGCACCTATAATATGGACCTCTCCAGATGAAATACACAAGAACCAGATCTATAGCTGTGGAAAGAGGTGATGGAGAAGCTCAAAACAAGGGCAGGAGCTGACTGGAACAGACCATCAATCACTCATATGCAAGTTCACATTGAAGCTGAAGAAAATTAAAACAAGTCCACGAAAGCCAAAGTACGACCTTTATTATCTACCCCCTGAATTTAGACACCATCTGAAGAACAGCATTGAACACCAATGACCAAAGACTAGGTGAGTTGTGTGTGATGATGTCATCACATCAAGAACATCTTAATGAAGAAACCAAATGGTCAATAAAAAGATAGGAAAGGAAGAAAAAAACAAAATGGATGTCAGAAGAAACTCTGAAATTTGCTCTAAATATAGAGTAACTAAAGTGAACAAAAGAAATGCTGAAATAAAAGAAATGAATAGAAGATTTCAAAGGGCAGCCCAAGAAAACAAAGTAAAAGTATCATAACAAATGTTCAAAGACCTGTAGTTAGAAAACCAAAAGGGAAGGACACTCTCAGCATTTCTCAAGCTGAAAGAAATGAAGAAAAAATTCAAGCCTCGAGTTGCAACATTGAAGGATTCTATGAGCAAAATATTGAATGATGCAGGAAGCATCAAAAAGATAGAAGGAATACAGAGAGTCACTGCATCAAAAAAAATTGGTCATCCACTCAGGAAAGGATCAAATCTGGACATCCTGGATAGAGTGAGAGGAAAAACATGGAAAAAATCCAAAAACTCAATAATGACCAGAATTACTGGTCAGAGGAAGTCTGATGAGACCCCCAATACTATGGCCCTGGAACACATTCTGCACCTGGAATAAAACTCACCCCCAGGGGCTGGCTCTCAGCCCAATAGTTAACAAGATGTACATGCAGACCACTCAACCCAGGATGACGCACCCACATACTCTATGGTAATACATCCCTTAGAGCAATAGACCATGGGGCACCAGAGGACAAACGTTCAGGTTGAGGAAATGCAGGGCAAGCAGGATGCATAAATCTGACAGGCACAGGGGAGGGTTACAGGGTAGGAATGGGAGGATACTGGGTTAGGGTTGGACATGGTAAATGGGGAATGAAACTAAATGTACATGTAACGTTGAATGTAAAACAAGCTCTTAAAATAATATTAATTGATTAATTAATTTTAAAAAAAGAATTGGTCAATGTCTAACTATCTCAGGAGGTAGCAAGAACCAATGGTACTGAAAGAAGAACTCCAAGCTGCACTGAAGACATTGGAGAAAAAAAATAAATAAAAGTTCCAGGAATGGATGGAATACCCATTGAGATGTTACAGCAAACAGATGCAGCACTAGAGACGCATAGTCATTTATGCCAAGAAATTTGGAAGACAGCTACCTGGCCAATTGACTAGAAGAGACACATATTTGTGCCCATTCAAAAGAAAGGTGATCCAACAGAATGCAGAAGTTATCAAACAATATCATAAATATCACATGAAAGTAAAATCTTTCTTAAAATAATTCAAAAAATGGTTGCAGCAGTATATTGACAGGAAAATTCCAGAAATGCAAGCTGGATTCAGCAGAGGATGTAGAACAAGGGATATCATTGCTGACTTCAAGCAGATCTTGGCTGAAAGTAAAGAATCCTAGAAAGATGTTTGCTTGTGTTTTATTGACTATGCAAAAGCACTTGCCTGTGTGGATCATAACAAATTACAGATAACATTGAGAAAAACAGGAATTCCAGAACACTTAATTGTGCTCATGAGGAAACTATACATAGACCAGGAGGTTTTTGTTCAAACAGAGTAAGGAGATACTTCTTGGTTTAAAATCAGGACGGGTGTGTGTCAAGGGTGTATCCTTTCACCATACTTGTTCAATCTCTATGCTGAGCAAATAATCCAAAAAGCTGGACTATATGAAGAAGAGTGCAGCATAAGGATTGGAGGAAAACTCATTAACAACCCACAATATTCAGATGACACAACCTTACTTGCTGAAAGTGCAGATGACTGGAAGTACTTCCTGATGAAGATCAAAGACTACCGGCTGCAGTATGGATTACATCTCAACATAAAGAAAATGAAAATCCTCACAACTGGACCAATAAGCAACATTATGAAAAACGGAGAAAAGACTGAAGTTGTCAAGGATTTCATTTTACTTGGCTCTACAGTCAATACTCATGGAAGCAACAGTCAAGTAGATATCGTATTGCATTGTACAGATTTCCTGCAAAAGACATCTTTAAAGTGCTAAAGAACAAAGATGTCACTGTGAAGACTAAGGTGCACCTAACCCAAGCCATGGTACTTTCTATAGCCTGATATGTATGTGAAAGCTGGACAATGAATAAGAAGACCAAAGAAGAGTTGATGCCTTTGAATTGTGGTGTTGGCAAAGAATACTGAAAGAACAAATAAATCTGTCCTGGAAAAAGTGCAGCTGGAATGCTCCTTGGAAGCAAGAATGGCCAAACTTCATCTCACCTACTTTAGTCATGTGGTCAGAAGGGATCATTTCCTGGAGAAGAATATCATGCTTGGTAAAGTAGAGGGTCAATGAAGAAAGGGAAGACTGTCCTGGGATTGATTGACACAGGGGCTGCAATGATGGGCTCTGTCAGGGCAAGGGCTGTGAGCATGGTTCAGGACTGGGTGGTGCTTCATTCGGTTGTACACAGAATCACCATGAACCAGAGCCAATTTGACAGCACCTAACAACAACCACTATATGGCGGGAGGTGATAAACTCAAATGCGTTAGGGGCCAGTAGCTAATGTGAGCGAAGGCAGTAGATGACACGCTTGTTCCCATCCACTCTATTTACAGTCCAGAGTGTCAGCAGGCAGGAATGTGGGCCCACAGCCTGATCACTCGGTTGTCGAAGAGAAGCTGTAAGTTCAAGTATTTTTTGTATAAAATGTCTATATTTTCATATGTTGACAAGTAATTCAAATTTAAAAAATAATACTGCTATGCATCCAAGCAAAACATATCTGTGGGCTAGAGGTGACCTACAGGCTGCCAGACTGGAACTTTAGCATTAAAGTGTCTACCTCCGTCTATCCCCATTTTGTAAAGTAAGAAACAGTCCCAGAAATAAAGTGACTTGACCAAAGAAACTATGCTAGTTAATGGTTGAGCTTGAACAGCAACAGGGTGGTCCTTCTATAAGGCCAACGGCTGTTCTGCTCCTCTATGGGTTACCATCTACCACGTCTCTGTCAGGTCGTCATACTGTGGCACTGGAAGCTATGCCACTGATATTTCACCCATGGTAGACAGGTTTCCCAGGGTTACAGGTGAGGAGAGACAATGCAGGGACGCCAGAGTAGCAGGCCGGAAGAGCAGGAGAAAGGGGATAAAAGCCTTGAACCCGGACAGAAGAGCAATCAGCC